GCAGTTTCGGCGGCCAACGGCTGGGATCATGGTTTGCTATTCAATCGTTTTCGAAATTGGCTGCAAAAAATTGCTGATAACTTCAACGTTGAGAGGCGGTGCCTCGTCTTGCTGGAAAAATATGTTTTCGAGTTCCATTAGGGACAGATCGTCAATAAGGAGTCCAAAGCCTACTAGTTAAAGCTTTAAAAAATGCTGTATTTCGAAAGGGTCTGCTATATTTTTGGAAATGTAATTTTAAGTTCTTTTCAGTTAATTAAAAAATCCAGGGTGTCCCAAATAAAAAAAATCAATTTTTCTGTTGATAACCCTTAAATTATTAATTTTAAAAAAATTATACTTAAACCATTAAAATGGTGCTTTGGAAATGTTTTCATAAAAATAAAAAATTCAAAAATTGTTCCGTAGCAAAAAAGTTACAGCGATTTGTTAAAAATGCACATTTTTGAAAAACTCCCCGTAATTCCGAAACTGTAACAGATATCGATGTGCGGTTTTTACCATCATGTTTTTGATAAAAATTGAGTTCCCGACACTGATATTAGTTTTCGTCTATCTCCTATAGAAAAGGGTGTTCTTTTAAAAGCGTCCAATTTGACCCACCCTGTACAACACATTTAAATTTATGATTTAAAAAACACAAAAATATAAATCTCAGTATTTCACAGGGCAAAATTCTTAAGTTCAAAACAAAGAAATATCTAATGCGATCCATATGGTACTTAAGCAATATTAAGATTTATGGTGGTTTTTTTTTTGTTTTTCTCCAAAGTGGCGCTAATAGAGGTCAGCACACATTATAACCAACCAAAAGACAGCCCGGCCCACAAAAATCTTTTGACCGCGATATGACCGGCCCGCGTTAAGCCATGGGCATATTGTGGGTGAGGTCGCACCATGGTTTTTTTTTCGTACCACGTTGCCGTTACTATCCTATTTTATTTTTTTTTTGAATTAATGTTTTTTTCTTGAACTTCTTTCTAGATTACGTTCTCCAGACTTATAGATTTCAAAAATTCTAATTAACTTGCAGACGCATCCTTCCATATACAGGGTGGCCCATTAGTACGAGGTACGAGGTCTAATATCGTCGTTTTGACAAAGATGTGAAAATTTTTTTATACACGTTGCATGATTTAAAATGTTGTATATTTTAAAATTATTTTGTAGTATACAGGGTATAAAATTGTAAAAGAGTATAAAGTTTAAAGTTTTTTTTTAATTGCACTCTCATTTTTTTGCATATAATACACTATTTTTATTTGAAGCCACTATGCGGTGTTTTATTCTATTTCTTATTTACTATATAACTTTATGAATACTTAACTGTATTTTCCTAAACACTGAAGATAAAGGAATAAATCCGCGAAAGAAAATTTACATTATCCTATACAGCGTATTTTTATTGCGTCGCCAAAATCAATTACAATTACCCTCAATATTTAAAGTGCTATATTCCTATTTTTTTAAATGTAAAACCCTGTATATTATTTTTCGTTTAGATCCAGCATTAAAAAATGAACATTTCTTGTACTTAAAGTATTCCTAAATGTTCCCATCCCATACAGCACACTTCGTCCCAGGGACGTACATTTTATGTCCATTTTGCGAGTACGTACTACGGACGTACAGGCGAGTACGTTCTACGTACATATCTTGAAAATTTTTGACAACGCATTACAAAATGTGTTATTTTGGTCAGATATACCCAATAATAATAAATGGACTGGATCAGTGGATATTTTCTAGGCTAACGTTAATTCAAGTCACTCTAACCTACCTCTATTTCTTTTATTAATAAATCTAACCTGACCGCTATAAAAAATGATTTCCTAATTTATCCAACGACCATAATGCATGACAGCCTTTGAAGAAATCTGATGGGTTAAAAATGCAATATATTATGCAATCAAGCCTAACAGGAAAATTATGCAGTTCTATGTTTAAATTTCCCGCTTTCGTTAAAAAATGTTATTCGCTCACATTCGAGTCTTGTCGGAATCGGAAGTCGGGCGGTTTCTAATGGCGTTTTCGATTGGCAGAGCTAAGGTAAGTTAAAGTGTAATAATATAATGTGGCGCAAAAATACAATTCTAGCAAATATTACAAAAGGGCAAATGTTCAAATTAAGCGGTTTGAAAGAGCTCTTCAAGAGGCTCCATCCCTAATCATAATAGACAGCCTGCTTCATTTAATCAGGCATCTTTCCTTCAATCTTGTAATGATCAATATAGCACATCAGATGTTTCAGTTCTTGATTTACAGTCTGAAGATTCTCTGCCACATCTTATCAATAGCGAAACTGAAACAGATAACCCTCGAGATAACTTATGTTATGTATCTCAAAGTGGGGAATCATCAGATGAATTACATGACACTGCCGCATCTAATGTGACTATTTCACCTAGACCATTGAGAATCGGCTCATTCAATTTTTTCAAAACAGAGGCAAGAATTAGATATTTGAATACTTAGTTTTCTTTTTGTATTTTTTATTTAGAAGCAGTTCGAGAATAAAAAAAAATATCTATCAACATCCAATAAAAGACAGAGTGCGCTAAGGGTGTAGTTGCCGGACCGAAGCCAGACTCACGGGTGTATCAAGACATAAGGGATGACCCTGTACCTGAGTTTTTATATTAATAAATATTTTAAGCTGACTTCCACTGAATTATTTCTAATTAAATTCCTAGGTCGTATACGTCGTTGAAGAATGTACGTCCATAGTACGTACATTGTACGTACTTTCGATCATTTTACATCCAGTTTTGGTCCGGAACAAAACATAAAATGTACGTACCTGGAATGTACGTACATGCGACGTACATAGTATGTACTTTACCACATCCCAGGGACGTACCGGAAAAAATCCACCTCTCCAATTGCCACCTCTCGTTGGAAAATGTACGTCCCTAGTACGGACATAGTACGCACCAGGGACCTGACGTTCGTCCCAACATTACGTACCAGGTACGTACATAGTACGTACCGTGGCTGTATGGGATATGGGGTTTTCAAATATTACCATGAATATCTGCGAAAACATTAAAAATTTAGGAACGCTTTAAATACAAAAAATGTTTCTTTTTTAATTTTGAATCTAAAAGAAAAATAATATACAGAGTGTTGCATTTAAAACAATTGAGATATAACATTTTAAATATTCCGATGTTGGCGACTGCAAAAATTACCCTGTATAAGATAATGTAATTTTTATACCATCCTGGTAAGCGAAACCTTGTATAAAAGTAAATCGCTATGGCAACCTAGTGAGTCGGAGAGAGCAAAAATGCGAAGTATTTATTATATAGAAAAGTAATGTACAGGGCATTGATAATTTTTCCCCATCTAACCCCCCACCCCCGCCAGTTATGTATAACCACTTAATCCGACGCTAGATTTCATGCGCTTGGGAAAATACTTGTTCTTCTGTCTTTATTTAGTACATCTTATTTTACTAAGCGTGTTGACCGTACTCTTTGTACATACGAAAATTGGCACCTTTTTATAACTTTTTTTTTGTGACAACCTGTATACCACCAAATATTTTTAGGATATGCCCCTTTATAAGTCACGCAATATCTGTATAAAACTTTTTTCATATCTTCGATTACGACCACCATATTGGACTTCCTTCTCATTTCTGTATGTATGTAGGTCTTTCACAATGGCTTAGAATCGCCTATGCACTGGCATAAAATGTGCATCAGAATATGGACCATATATATTCCATATACAGGGTGCTACAAATTCGAGGTACGAGCATTGGTATCTCAGTAACCGTAATAGACACGAACATGGTTAAATTGGAGCAAAGTTGCGCTTTGGGATGTTCACCAAGATGCCATCAAGAAAGTTTTAAAAATTTCAAGGATTGCTGAGTTTTTTGGAAAAAACGGATTTTTTTTGAAAGTGAATTTTATTTCTTCCTGTCGTTACTTTTAAGAAAATCAAAAAAATAATTGCACATACACATAGCCACTTTATAAGGGCTATCTGATAGTATTTTTAGATTTTGAAATTAGCTGATAATTTCTGACATACAGAGGCCAACTTATTTTTTTTAAATGCGGACCTGTATTTTTTATTTCAGATTTTGAAAGAACTTGATCTCCTGAGTACAATGATATGCCACACTTAATAGTTTTTGTTTGTTTCGGACATTTGAACACGATTTATTTAAACTAATGTTAAGTCCGGCTCTGTTTTTCTTTTAATATTTAATCTATTCATTGTTACAACATTGATAAGCTTTCAAACTTAACAATGACGTGGGGTAAAACATTGAACATGGAAAATCAAATGCAAAAAGATAATAAAAAATAATATACAAATGAATAACATTACTTCACGTCATTTGTGAAATCAAAAGTGAAATCAATATATCTCAACATTTATAAAAAAGAGTACAAAAAGCATTCGGAAGTATAAGAAGAAAGTTCAAAAAGATATAAATAAAATTCAACGAAAAATAAATTTGTGCAATAGGGAGGGTGGTAACCCTTTCGAACATGTAGAGCATTAGAAACTAGTTTGTAGAATGATCAATATTGTTGCGATGAATATAATCAGATTAAATAATTTAAAAAACCAGAGTCGGACTTGAAATTATTTTAAATATTAATTAAATAGTTTTGTAGACACAATAGATACGTAATTTCTATTTTCAGTTAAATTTAAAAACGGTAATTAAAAACTGATATATTTCTCTTATCCTGATTTACAAACCCCTAAAATTCGTGCTACCTTTATAAATTTTAGTAACATCAGATGATGGTTTACATTACATTATTTACGAGTATTATTTTCAAATACACATAATTTTTTTACAATCTTAGCAAACTAAATTGGCTTTTTTTAAAATATTTGGCGGATTTTTCTTATGTTCTTGAGTAAATTTGAGGAGACTCGGCAACGGTGGGGGCCCCAGAACGTGCCAGTGGCGGTCGTCACCAAACCCAGCCAACGTACAGCGCGTATCGCTACTTTTAAACTTGCTCGAATGCCGGTACAGACTTTCTCGATACGCTCGAAGGACCAAATTCGTTCGAAGAACCGTCTCTTGCGTTCTGTTTTTACGTTATTCTCGGCCCTAGGTACTTACTACGAGTATTTTGGCTACAGGTAGTACCCTTGTCACGGTGTGTTATCGCGATATGCTACCTGTTTGAGTGATTTTTCGAAATGTTCGAGCTTGAAAACGCGCGTAAATCTGAAAAAATCGACGCGCCAAAAACTCTGTTGTGATTTTTTGAAAGATTTTGGCTCGAAAATACGATTGTCAGTGATTTTTTGGATATAAGGATGCTTTTTCCGATGATACAGGTAAGCTGTTTTTTGTATAAACCTATAACATGTTAAAAAAATCAAATATTTTTAAAATTAGTGGTTTACAGATTACAGATGATTTTTAGTTATTTAGGGAATAGTTTACTTCAAACAATATTACTTTTGCTTTAGAACACTCGATATTTTATATTATTAGTGTAGGTTTGTACTTAGGAAAGTGTTAGTATATTAAAAAGCTGTCCAGAATTTGTATAGGCTTTTTTAAACAATTCTACACAAATTTTTAAGCTACTATTCACGTTCATTAAAGTTAAATAAGATCTAAACTCCCTAAACTTAAATAAGTCAATAATAACAATATTGTAAGTTTGTCTATATATGTACTATGGTTATGTTAGTAAACAATCATGAGAAACAGGTCTCCACAGATGTCAAAACCAGTAGGTATTATCACTTAAAATATCCTATTTTATAAATCAGATTTAAATACCTTAATTACAGAAAAAACGCATCAAAGGACTCGTCGAAATGATAATCGATTATAATTTCTGTGACATCTAAAAGCTTGCAAGATATTTTCATCTATTGTCATTTTAAAGGCTTACTATGAGTTCGTTTTTTTTCTTAATCATTGAATACCTACATTTTTTGTAGAATCACAGTTTAAAGAATATACAGGGTCGCTTTTATGTATGGAAACGGTCGATTATTGTATGAGGTACATTGTGTGTATTTCGATTTTTAGAATTGAAGGAAGAACCGAAATATGCAATAATATACAGGAGGTTCCATTTAAAAAATGAAACTTTGATGTGCCACGACTTAATAACCGATCCTGTATACTTAAATTTATTACCCGCTAATAGATATTTATAAACCCTATAACTTTTATATTTAACTTTGTGCGGTACCCCCTATATTTTACCTAATAATTACCGTTTCCATACATAAAAGCGACCCTGTATATACTTGAAACGTGTATATTTTATAAACTGTATAGGTGTATTCTTTAAACTTTGGTGGAATATAAAGAAAAATCTTTATTATTTATTCTAAAAATCTTATTTGTTCTCAAAAAATTATGTTAAAACCAAAATTATTCTTATTTTCGTTAGCTACAACGTACAAATTTATAATCAACAATACTTTCTCCAATGAATATTCACATTTAACTTAAGTAACATACTTTTTTTCTGAAATATTTTCCCATAGCAATAAAATTCGGAAACATGACAGATGCTTCCCATAAATTCTCTCGGTTTATTTTTTAAAAACCTGTACAGGTGGTGCTATATAGGTACCACCGAAGAACCTGATGGATGTATAGGTTAACTTCAGGTAAAATTCACCTATAAATGCTCCTTTTTTCTCTGAGATTACTTCTACGTGTTGGTGAATTGATATTTTGGCTGTTTGGGGGCATAAATTTTGATCTATAGTTCGAAATAAATTTTGAAAATCGTTTTTATATATACAGGGTGGTCCGAACTGTATTCCGGAATCTTCAGCAGCATATTCTACAGATAAAAATATGCAAAAAAGTTCGTATAACTGTGTGTCCTAAAATGCTTAGTTTCGGAGAGACTGGGTGTAGAAGTTTCATTTTTATTTCGATTGTTTCCAAATAATTTCTGAAGTAAAGTCAATATTTGGATGAAAATTGGGGTCTGGTTTTTTTTGACATCAGAAATTTGCTTTTGATGTCAATATGACTCCTATTTGTAGGGGGCGCCACCTACATGTGTTTTAACTGTTTTTAAAAGTAATGACTTTTCGTCCGTACTTGTATAAAACGTGAAAAAATATACATTTCTGTGATTTTTTAGGTAAAAAATATCTCTTGGTAAAAGTCGCTACAAGCAACCGGCAACCGTTCTCCAGATATACCGGGTGTTCCATCGTCGAGCGGGACATAGGAAATCCCATGTAAATTTTAATGGGGTCAATTATTGGCTTCCCTAATTATTTTAGAGAATAATTCTATTTAGGTTTATTGAAGAGCACTAAAACCCACATTTAAAAGAATAACTTTTGATATTTGTGATTTGATATTTGTATTTGATTCGCCCGTTTACGAGTTATCGCCGATTTCTTTTTAAATATTTCTCCTTTCTTATGGCCCTGTATTTACTTATGAGCACCAGTCAAGGTAAAAAATAACTGTCAAATGAAGTTGTCATTTCAGAAATTTATCTATTTAGTGCTTTATTATTATTATTAAAAACTCATATCTACATCGAAAATATTAGCCATGAATTACACTACCGAAGAAAAAGTATTGGTGATTAAATGGTATTATCAAGGAAATAGTTATCAAAAGGTGTCGGACATGTTTGCTGCTCTGTATCCGAATAGACCGATACCTGGAAAATCTACAATCGCAAGGAATATCCAGAGATTTGAGACCAAAGGTACCCTAAATAACTGCAGATGTGAAGCAAGGCAGGAACAAAGAGAAGATGCAAGAAATGATACCGACTTGGAAGTTTTATTGTGCGTGGAAGAGAACAATGGAAAGATCAGCACAGGGAAACTTGAGGATGAAATAGGAATAGATCACACTACAGCGTTTCGAATTTTGAAACGACATAAATACTATTCCTTCAAATATGACGAGATGGGGACGAAATACGGCGGAAGGCGTTTTGTTTTGATATTATGGAAAGAGCAAACATGGATAGGGAATTTTTAAAAAACATATGTTTCACTGACGAATGCACGTTTACCTTAAATAATGAACCCAATGTTCAAAATTATCGATATTGGAACAAAGAAAACCAACACAGGTTTGTCGAAACAAGGACGCAATATCCACAGAAAGTAAATGTTTGGGCAGGGATATTCGGACATAATATTATCGGGCCATTATTACTTACGCGAAATTTAAATGCAGAATATTATTTGGAACTACCCGAAAATCATATTTTACCTGCTTTACATGATGCCGCTAGGGAAAATCAGGAAGTTTGGTACCAAATGGATGGCTGCCCGGCACATAGTACCCTGGCTGTTCGGGAATATTTAGACAATAGTTTTAACGGAAACGTTATTGGCCTAAATCATACAATAAATTGGCCAGCAAGGTCTCCTGATATTGCGCCAAATGATTTCTTTCTCTGGGGCCATTTAAAAAACAGGATATACAAGCATAAAAAATACCCAAATCTAGACGAGTTAAAAAATGCTATTTCTGCCGAATGCAATAGAATTTCAGTTTACGAACTAGCGAATGTAAGAAGAGAATTTTATGGTTGCCTGGGTTATTATCTAGCAGTCGATGGAGGAATATTTGAACATCTTAAATCCTAATGTTCTAACAATTTAATAGTACCTAAATTAATAAATTATTGAATATTGTAATAATACTATAATTAACCTTGTAATTGGTTACTTTATTTTACTTTAATTCTTATTAATTTGTATTTATAAATACTTTTTAAGATTTCCGATGTAGGAATGAGTATCTAATATTATTGAAAATTATTATTTTCAATAATAATAAAGCACTAAATAGGTAAATTTCTGAAATGACAACTTTGTTTGACAGTTATCTTTTACCTTGACTGGTGCTCATAAGTAAATACAGGGCCATAAGAAAGGAGAAATATTTAAAAAGAAATCGGCGATAACTCGTAAACGAGCTAATCAAAAATATCTAAAATTATTCTTTTAAATGTGGGTTTTAGTGGTCTTCAATAAACCTAAATAGAATTATTCTCTAAAATAATGAGGGAAGCCAATAATTGGCCCCATTAAAATTTACATGGGATTTCCTATGTCCCGTCCGACGATGCAACACCCGGTATACATGTACAATGGAAATAGTCAATATATAATGTCATTATTGACAAAAAATAATAGTATATTGTTTTATTAGGAGTAAAATGACACTTCTTGTGGGGGGGCTGTACGTTTGACGACATACAGCCGAGGCACAGAAAGTTACTCCGAATAGAACATACCATTTTTTTTCAAACGCCACAAATAAGTTTTTAAACAATTTCAAACGTTTCAAATAATATAAAAAATTTCATAAAGTCATACCTTGTATGTAATTATATATCGAAAAACTATGGTTACGCTCGTTGATTTTGACACTTTATGTCAGTTTAGTAATATATATTTTCCAACTTTTATGCTTAAGCGTAAAGTGCGTTACTTACTACTTTACTAACGTACGTTAAAATTACTTTTTATATTGTCAATCACGTCCCAGAAATGAATACTTTTTTGACATTTGAGAAAAAACATTGTTATGTAGATAGTTATTTGACTGAAATAATAAATTTGGTAGCTTTTTATTTTTTAATTCAATCATAAATTTTTCTTCGAAAAAATGATGATAAAATAGTTTCTGTTGAACTTTTGCCACAAAAACATTAGAAATTTATGATTCCAGTCTAATAACTATTTAGTCAACAGTCAACATGTTTAATTTATGTCAATGATGATAGATATTGATATAATTTCGATTTCAAATATCTCGAAAACCATTACTCGTCGCGATTTTTACCAAGAGACTTGTTTCATGTAAAAAAACGTCGTAAATGTATCTGTTTTTACTCAGTTGTTTTATACAGGTACGGACAAAAATTTATAACTTTTCAAAGCACTTAAAAATATGGAGGTGGCGCCCTCTATAAATAGGTAGGTGACAATAAAGGAGGATTGGCATTAAAATCAAATTTCTCATGTCAAAAAACTCCCAGACACCAATTTTCATCCAAATATTGACGTTATTTTCGAAATTATTTGGAAAAAATCGAAATAAAAATGAAACTTCAACACCCTGTTCTTCTAATCTCTTAAACTAAGCATTTTCTCAGCAAGTTCTTCCACTATTCAGGTTTGTAAAATGTAATTTGTTGAAAGATTTTAAATTTTAAGTGATACTTTCACTAAAGAGAAATATTAAAAAATAATAGGCTCATACTCATTAGGATAATTAATAAATGTAAATCGTAACTAAAAGAAATCTAATTAACGCGAGACCAGTTTCAAATTTAATTATAAATATAAAATAATTTATTAAATCT